ATTTCCAGGGGAATCTGATTTCCATGGTCCTGCTTGGGGTGCAGTGAAGAGAGCTCAGGGCCTCTGCGACTCCCTCCAGGAAGCTGAGGAAGCAGGAGCAGTTTAATTAAAGGGCTACTAGGAAAATGGCCCATTGCTTCTACAGCAACCTCTGCCATCATGAGAACATGGGGAAACAAGAGGGATGGGACACACTCGTTCCTTCTTGGAGGTGTGCTTGCTCCGATTCACCCCTTCGTGCATAATTCAAATTATATTCTTCATGACCTCATGCTTTTTCTAGATGAAAATTTCCCTTCCCAAATTCTTTATATTCCTTCTCCAAGGCAAAGCTAACTGGTCACTCATTGCTTTTTCTTATATTTCTACTTCCTGCTAGATTAGAATGTGGTTTCTCTCATCCTGTATCCTATGCTCGAGGCAGGAACTTGGTCAGCAGGGCAGCTAGGGGCAGAGCTGCGTGTGTACGTCCAGGTGCAGCTTTGTCCTCTTCCCACTCCCTGAAGCCCACCTGTGTTCTGGGCCCATTCCACCTAACGGTCCTGAGAAATAGTCATTTCCCAGTTTCCCGACCTTTCATTGTCTGTTGGTCCCAAGCCAACCAGACCGTCTTTCCTTCAATAGACCTTTGTCTGAAATACAAAAGTTTAGTGATTTAAACCCCAATCCAATATGTAATAGTTCTTTAATTCTTTTGAGATCCCTGTGATTCAGCCAACTTGGGAACTATTGATCGTCTAAAAGGACATAACTCTTAATTTTTTACTTTCTTTCAGATCCAGCACATGTTTTTAATGGACCAGGCTTTACACACACATCAGATTCCTAAGAACGTTGCTGAAATACATTGTTTACCATCATACCCTTAAAAATATAACATTTTTGTTTAAATGATATGAAACCCCTGATCACTAATTTCTAACCTCATTAGCTCCATTACAGTGTCTCAAAGCTAGCACGTGTCATCTGCAAGGAGGAAGATTTAAGACCTATTTTAAAATGTGGTTATTCACTGTTAAAATTTCGACTTGCAAACCACCGCTGATTTAGTCACTTCTCAGAGACAGAGAGTAAACCAGAGCTTTTCTGAATCTGACCATCCCTCTCTTCCGCTGCTGAAATGTTGGTTTAAATAGTTGGTCTTTAGAAGAAACCGTATTTCCAGTACCCATGTGACCATTCTATTTTTCACTTTCAGTACAACAGTCAATAAATTACATGAGATATTTAACACTTTACTATAAAATAATCTTGTGTTAGATGATTTTGCCCAACCGTAGGCTAATGGAAGTGTTCTGAGCATGTTTAAGGTAGGCTAGGCTAAGCTATGATGATCAGTAGGTCAGGTGTGTTAGAATTCCTAGGGTTGTGGTGAGCACTTAGTGAGCTGATGTATGTAGGGAGCTTAGTGCATGGTCGAACATGGAAAGCACATGGGTTTCCATCGTTCCTGGAACCCTCCGCATATTTCATCCTATGATGACTGGCGAGTTTCATGGGGCAGGATTAGGACTGACTTGTTCACAGTTGTATCCCCAGTGCTTAGTACAGAACAAGTCTCAGAGATTTGAGTAGATTTTGCAGAATGAATGAGTGAATAAATGAATGGATATATTTTAAAAATTTGTATGCAAATATAATTATAAAATGAATGTAATTATTAAAGAATTTGAGGAAGCTCACTGCATTTTGATCGACTCCGTCCACGTCCACGTAAGCCAAGGTTCCCTGTCTAAATCAGGTAGATGATTCACAACAGGAAATTTAGCTGTTAAGTCTGGCTAATGCCTACATACCACGACATTTGACAACATTGGTTCCTAAAAGCTTGGCCCCTTGGAAACCAATGCATCAGTTATTTAGCTTCGGAAATCTTTTCCTGGCCTTCAGGGCAAATGTTGAGTAATTCTGTTTTTACCTAATGGGTAGCAAGTATTATGTGTAAATAAGCGACTAATGAACTGTATGACCTGGGCCTTAAAGTCTTAATCTTGTTAGGGCCGAGCCCGTGGTGCACTCGGGAGAGTTCAGCGCTGGTTCGGATCCTATACAGGGATGACCGGTGCGCTCATAGCTTGAGCGCGGTACAGCCGGTCTCAAAAAGGACAAAAAAAAAAAAGTCTTAATCTTGTTAGCATTAGCTCTTTGGACTGCTGGCCTGCGCACCTCCTGATAGGTCTTTTGCAGAGATAGTTCGTGAATCGATGGTAAGCATGGGTCTGATTATTTTTCCAGGAAATCAGTGACCCAGAGATCTTGGATCTGGTCCACAGTGCCCTTGGCAGGATGACCGTGGTCCGGCAAATCTTCCCGTCTGCAAAGGACAACCAGAAGTGCATGAGGAACAACCACCGCATCTCCTCCCTGCTCTGTGACCCCCAGGAAGGCTACCTCCAGATGCTGCAGGTCAGTGTGCACCCCCCCGCCTTCCCCTGCAGGTGAGTCTTACCCAAACTGTTGGCCTGCCATGGGAGACATGCTGGGCGCTCCTGTTACCTGCCAACTTTAATTACCAAACTCTGTCACTTGCTGAAATGGAAACCGGTTGACTGGATAGTGTCTCTAAGCAGCATTAGCAAACAGTCATGCCTGTTGTCAGTAGATGAAGCATATTAGCTCACTGAGTGCCTCTGGTATTTAAAAGTTACATGCCTGAGGGTAAAGA